AGTTGCAGCCAAAACTGTACGGCAGCGTAACCGCCACAGTTAAACCTTTTCACACAGCTTACACACAGCAATTATGGACCATTCGAGTGAGACAAAATCATCGTCCGGAGGTAAAATACACCCTCAATCGGATCTCCGGGAGGGGGTAGGCACCCGAGTACGCTCGAGTAGGCACTCGAGCGTATCATCGGAGAAACAAAAAACATCAATGTTTCACGTGTGCGGCGTGGAACGTCCGCACTCTACTGGACAAGATTAATTCAAATCGGCCAGAGAGAAGAACAGCACTGGTCCCACAGGAACTCCACCGATTAAATATAGATGTTTTACCGATTAAATATAGATCCGCTTTGCGGATGAAGGTAGTCTCAGTGAGGAGCATTACACCTTCTTTTAGAAGGGTCACCCCGCAACACAGGAGAATATATGGCGTAGGCATTATGATCAAAAACAAAATCGCCACCAAATTAACAGAAGTACCTATTGGTGTCTCGAAACGTCTTATGACCCATAAGGTACCCCATATCAGACAAAACTTACGTCAACATCATTAGTGCCTACGCTCCCACCCTAGACGCTAAAATTGGGGATAAGGATAAATTTTACCAAGCTCTACAAAATGTTCTTCAACGAATTCCAAAGCACGAACGAATCATCTTCTTAGGTGACTTTAATGCCCGTGTTGGCAAATAACAGGAAATTTGACCTGACGTATTGGGAAAACATGGAATGGAAAACGTAAATAGCAATGGTGAACGCTTATTAACAACATGCGCAGAGTATAATCTTTGCATCACCAATACGTGGTTCATGTTAAAGGACAAGTTTAAAGGTACCTGGAAACATCCCAGATCAGGCCACTAGCATCAATTTGACCACGTAATTGTACGAAGGGCGCATCTAAAAGATGCCAGACTCACAAAAGCCAGAATAGATGCCGAACGCGGCATTGGCTTTTAATTTCAAATATGAAAATCCAGTTAAAACCCAAACATCCACACTGTAAAAAGCAAAACAACATGACCAGATTGCACGTACGGGGTCTAGAGAACAACAATACCGCCGACGCCCTCCGGGAAGCCATCAACGAATCACTTCCACCAATAACTCCAATCTCAATCTTGGAAGCTGAAGAAGGCTGGACACAATTAGGGGATGCGATTCATAAAACCAGCGAAGCAGTACTGGGAAAGTCGAACAAAAAGAAACAACCAGACTGGTTTAACGAAAATGAACCGCATATACAGGCTTTGTTAGAACAAAAGCATAGAGCATATCAAGCAATCACTGCAAATCCACACAATCCAAGATAAGAAGGTAGACAGACAACTTTAAAGCAGCCAACAATACGCTTCGAAGAGAACTGCGCCAACTAAAGGAGGTCAACTAAAGGTGGTCACAAAAAGCGAATCAGATTTAAGAGTACGCCACGCATCACGATTATCGTAAATTCTTCCAAGTTGTAAAAGAAGTATACGGTCCAACCAAGAAGGTAAGCTGCCCAATCAGGCACAAAATGGCGAACTTCTAAAAGAGGAAGAAAAAATCCGAAATCGCTGGAAAGAACATTACAGTCATATCCTTAACCAAGAAAACAACCCCAATATAGAAGCACTAAACACAATTACCTAAGTATAACAGCCTCGATGTATTAGACATCCCAATAACAGAATAGGAAATAAAGACCTCCATAAAACAGCTTAAAAACAACAAATCAGCTGGCTGTGACGCGATTCCGGCGAAAATCTATAAGTGTGCAAGTAAAGACTTATTGGTCATCTTATGGCTCTATTCAATGTCGTATGGGAAAGCGGAGAGGTGCCTCAGGACTTTCGCAAAGCGAATATAGTGAATATATTTAAGAACAAAGGAAGTGCATCGGACTGCGGAAATTGCCGGGGAATTTCACTATTGGCTATCAGAGGAAAAATTCTTGCAAAAATTATGTCAAACCGCCTGCACACATATATAGAAAAAATATTTCCAGAATCGCAAACGGGTTTTCGTACCAACTGCGGTACCGTCGATTCCATATTTACCATCCAATATTTACCATATATTACAATCCGCCAACTACAGGAATAAGTAAAAGAGCAGCAGCCTAACAAAAATGTTGCATTCATCGATCTAACAAAAGCCTTCGACTCTGTGAACAGAGATGCGCTTTGGGCAATTATGAAAAAGTTCAGAGTGCCCAACAAATTTCTTACAGTGTGTAAAAGCCTCCACAACAACAACAAGTCAAGAGTGTCACATCATGGATCACTGAGCCATCCCTTCCTAACAAATACAGAAGTTAGGCAGGGATGTGTCTTAGCGCCTCTCCTATTCAACATATTCATGGCAGCGCTCTCCATTATAGTGGACAGCATACTGCAGGAGGGAGGATTGGGCATTAGATACAGATACGACGGCGGTCTGTTCAACATAAAAAGGTTTAGTGCAAAAACACGTACAAAATTCATCACAGAACTTCAATACGCTGATGACTGCGCTTTAGTTGCACACACGTTACAACAATTACAAGAAATGTTGAACACATATACCTGGGCATACGAGGCTTTGGGCCTAAAGCTAAACATCGACAAAACCAAAATTATGTGTACTCCCCCGGAAGATCACAACAATGCTATAAAAGATGGATAAGAACGATTGGAATATGTGGCGAAATTCAATTACCTCGGCATCGGCAGTTTGTTTTCGGAAAAGGCCAATATTGACTCTGAAATTCAGCACAGGATTAGCAGTGCCTCAAGAGCATTCTGGAAATTAAAAGACAGGGTTTTCTACAATCATAACTTGAGCACAAAAACGAAACTTGCAGTGTACCGAGCAATAATAATCCATACCATGTTATATGGAAGAGAAACCCGGGTGCCGGCCGTACCGCCGACCCATTAAACAAGTTGTAACAGAGACACCTTAGACAATTCTTAAGAATGTCTCAAACGTATCGGTCCCTGCGGGAGTATTGAAGTCATGGTTACAAAATCCCGCTTAAGATGTACACGTATGCAGATTGCAAGAAAATCGTATACCAAAATCTCTGCTTTACAGTGAGCTTGTAGACGGTAAGAGGAGGCCGGGTGGACAACTGAAAAGGTACAAGGATATTTTCCACGAAAACTTAAAGACTATTAACATGCAGAATGAGTGGGAAGAACCAGCTCACAATAGAACTCAATGAAGAAGAATTATAAACTCAGTGACAACCAAAAAGTAAAGAGGCATCAAAGCAATGAGATTTTTGAATGTCCGGAGTACGGTAGATAGATAACATCACATATCGGGCTTTTCAGTCACAGAAAAGCTCATGAAAGAAAACCCCTTGCGTGACCGTCTTCTGATGTGTGTCGAATACTCGTCAACGAGTAATGGCAGTATGTATGTGTATGTATTATACAGTACTTCCTGTTAATGCTTCTTTAAATTCTTCGAATTTATTATTTATTAATTTTAAGAGGGCTTTAAATAAGCAATTAATTTGCTTTAAAAACGGTTATATTTCAAAAACTATTCGGTATAGTATATAACATTATGGTATTTTTGGAACGAAAATTTTGTGGCAAATCCACTGAGCTAAAAATTATATAGGGTGTTTCAAAAAACATGTGCCGTTTCTAGTGGGGATTCCTCTCGTAAAAATACGATTTTTTTCATATCAACATAGGTCCGATTCTGCTTTGTTTCATATGCACCTCACTGGTGAATATATCGACACTTTTTTAACAGTGAAATAATTTTAGTAACTTTTACCCTCAAAATTTTACTCACATCGCTAATAGCATTTGGAAGAAAATTATAATAAATGGAAAAAGATGAAGAATTTAACCCCCAGTAGTTACGGAACAAAGCAGAATCGGACCTATATTGATATGACAAATAAATCTTATTGTTACAAGAGGAATCTCCCCACGAGAGACGGCACATAAATTTTGAAATACCCTGTATAGTATTCCATTTAAAAATATAAAACTTTGGTACACAAGATTAACGAGTTGGTCTGCTTTTCCACCATCATCACATTTCTGTAGTGCCGATCTTCTGGTAATACTCTATTCAGTGCTTCAGAATCTGAAATTTATTTTTCTGTACCTGGAATTTATTTCGGGCCCTTGCCCTTTCGATAATATGCACTTCTCCTTCTTTCATGTCATCGTCATGTTCAGTAGTTAATTCATCATCTTCGTTCAAACAGTCTTATGCGCTGTTACAATTGTTCTTGCTCTGCCTCATATGAGTACAACTAGAAAATAATAATTATTTAATAAAAAAAAATGTCGATTATTTACTTTTTTAATCACAATTTACTCATTTTCAATTAAAACAAACCAGTAAAATAACTTACCTTACACGACATTATAACATTATTTATGTAAAAAGAGTATCACAAACGGTCGCGCGCGGACTTACACTCCGCATATGAGTATAAAAAGATACCTACTAACTACACTAAACGTTGTGCAAACGTGAATTTCTCATAAAATAGGCAGAGACAGGAAGATACTAAGCGGCGCAGCATCTGATGTTTTCATATTTTCGAAATATCGGGAAAAATAGGTACCTACGGACTGTGGGCCCGCGCGCGACCTCCAAAGGCTTAAGGGGGAAACCAACCACATCCACGACCTTCCACGACTGCCTTCTGGCCCTACCCATCTTTAGCTAGGATGTCCGAGAGCTTCGAAAATAGCGGATGTATATTAGAACATCTCGCGCCAAAAGATGGTAAAAGAGCATTTTCCGTTGTTGAATTGAAGATATATTAATTATTTTGTAAACGTTTATTTTCTGTTCTTAATTTATTCGGAACGGTTACTACATAGATCAGAGTAGGGGGAAATTTAAATATTATTACCAAAAATAAGAAAAATATTAAAATAATTCCTTCAGTCTTAAGACAAGTTGACTATCTGGAATAGAAAATTCGGTTAAAGCGAGCATTATCATTCGATACCTTGTTAAAATGTTCTCTCACTTTATCTGTTTTTACTTTTCAGGGCGCTTATGAAGGTTTTCTATTAAGTGAATCCACTATTGCAATCCACGAGAGGGTAAGATTAAAAGTTTAAAGGAATATATTTTGAACAATAAGTACCTACATAACAATACTGTTAGACTATCAGATTGACAACAAAAACACATCTACAAAATTCTTACATTTTTTATTTTAGAATTAATATGTAGAGTAGATTGCTATTGTAGTTGTCATCTTTTAAGTTTTCCCATTATTGCGGATATATAACTATTGACAATTTTCTCAATTGTCAATGTATGTACCAATAATTGGATGCTGTTTTATGCAATTATATTTTGTTCCTTATCAATATCCCCGTCCATAATACCAAATTTCGATGTAAGGAAAACTTAAAAGATATTTTTCTGTAGTTTTGCAGATTTTTTTTCAAAGGAATGCAAGAGTGGACACACTTCTCTACAAATTGAAATTACTATATTTATTAAAATACATACTAATATAATAGTAATAAATATTATCTTTATTTGTAACTTTTGATACTACCTACATCATCTAGCAGAAAAACTCTTAATATTACCGTTGATTGAAAAAATAAGAAGATGCGCAACCTTTTGGGCGATTTCGGGCATAAAACCTGTCCGAGATTTAGCTGGCGTCACCGTCAGCCTGTCCCAGATTTTAGCTCATTGTCGTTTATAGCGCAGCTGATAAAGAATACTGTACCGTAATTCTGCTTTCAGTCGCCAGAGTGGGCGGTTGCCGGAGACAGTGTTGCCAGAACTACAGACTAATCCGTAGATTTATGGATTTTAGATACAGTAGGTTAATAATACGGATTTTCTATCATTAAACAATTTAATATGATATTATATGATCACAAAATACTAAAATTTTAAAGGTGGCGCGTTTGTTAATAATTTAAATTATGAAGAGTTATTTCCTAAAAATCTTTGCTGAAAATGCAATTTCCCAAAAATCAATTCCTTCAATCAACGATATTACTAAGAGTTTAATTGGTTTGTTTAATTAATTTAAAAATTTACAAAAAAAAAAATACAAAATTATAACTATAGTGAATTACAACAGAGAAAAAAAAAACTCCAGTTTGTTGACTGAATTAATAATATTATATAATATGCAGTTAATTAGATACGTTGTCCAACATACACAAACATGTATAGTCACTGCGGTGAAAGAATATATGTATTGTCAAATATAGCCACTCTCAGCATTGGCTGATAGTTGATTAAGTGACAATTTTTGTCCTTCATATTAATTCAAAGTAGATTATCATATATTCTGGAGCCTAATATAGAAACAATTCATACAAACACAGCTTATTTAAACCTACTTCTTAATTGTTCCTGTTTTAGCTAGGATTTAAAATATTGCGGACATATTTGTAAGTGCTTGTTTAGATACATATGTAACATATCTTGTTAAATAGTGGTAATTTGGAAATACAATATCAAATACATTGTATGTATAGTTAGAATTGTATTATCTGAGGAATAGTGTATTTTATATTTTAAGAAAAGTATACGGTATGAATAGTATATAAATATACCATGAAATCTAAATTTTATTTTTTAAATACCAGATTATCTGCAAACAGTCAACAGACAGAATATACGGGGTGGCCCATCGAAAACGTTCCGCATGGCATAACGGCCAGAGTATTTTTTTTCAAAAAATCCATAAACACGTCAATTTTGTTTGTGAGGGGGACAAGTTTTGCCCCAAAAATGATCATCCCCCAATTTTTTTCAAATGGGAAGGGAGGTCAAGTGGTACCGCAATGAAAAGGGCTTTCTATTATCTATATGAGAAAATATGAAGGATTGAAATTTGAAAAGTTTATTTAAAAATTTATCAGAGTAAATGATAAAGATAAATTCCTTCGACCAATTTGCTGTTTTTTCTTATTATTTCTAGATGTTTTCGCATTTTTTCACTTGCCACAAGGTTGAACGATCAGGTGCGGTAGTTGCGAGAGAGCTGTACTGTGACTTGTGCGTTGAAGTTCTTCTCAATATCGTTAAATTTTTAACAATTATGGTGTACTCACTTACAGAAAAAGTGGAAATAATCGAACTTTATTTTACTTTATTTTAAAACGTCGTCGTTGAGTTCTTGTACCAACTGAATTTTGTACGGGTGGAACTTACTTCTTTTAATATCCTTTGGACGCTTGTATGATTCACGCCGGTCTCATTCGCCAATTTTCTTGTACTTAGCGTACCTGGCAACTTGGCCTAATACGAATACCTCCATAGCTTCATTTACTACAGGATTTTCCCTCTGCCTCTTTTTATTCATAACGAAACCAGTTTCGCGAAATTTTGCTACTAACTCGCGAACAATTTTGCCATAAAGGTGTTTGTTAGGATGGCGTTCATTGAATATCTGCGCAACCCGATTGCCACATTCATTATTTTTAAAAGAAAGTTCGATTATTTCTACTTTTTCTGCAAGTGGGTACACCATAATTGTTAAAAAGTTTAACGGTATTGAGAAGAACTTCAACGCACAAATCACAGAACAGCTATCTAGCAACTAGAAAAAATGCGAAAACATCTAGAAATAATAACAAAATACAGCAAATTGGTCGAAGGAATTTATCTTCATCATTTACTCTGATAAATGTTTAAATAAACTTTTCAAATTTCAATCCTTCATATTTTCTCAATGACTCGACCGATTTTCAAAAACGAAGCGGGAAAGTATAGATAATAGAAAGCCCTTTTCATTGCGGTACAACTTGATCCCCCTTCCCATTTAAAAAAAAATTGGGGATGAAACCCCCGCTCAGAGGGTTGAAGATTTTGCAGTCATTTTTGGGGCAAAAGTTGTCCCTCTCACAAACAAAATTGACGTGTTTTTGTATTTTCTGAAAAAAAATTACCCTGGCCGTTATGCCTTGCGGAATGTTTTCGATGGGCCACCCTGTATAAATATCTTTCCAGCCTTTCGTATTTGAACTATTTTAATTCATCGAATGTATAACTTACTAATTGATGTTTTCTAATACCAAACATTAAACTATAGAAAGAGCGACGAAATGTAGGCGTCGCGTCGGTGACGTAATTCTTGCGAGGCCCCTTTTATTTCTAGTTAGTACAGTAACAGAATCTTAAAATAAAGGAGCTGTTATACTAGTACATATTCATACACTAAATAAGAAAAATTATTTTTTTTACGAACAATTACTATGAACTTCCTCTGGTGATCGTTACTAAACAGAACTGTGTTGAGCGGGCAGTGCAGAGAAATATGTGAGAGTGAGAGGAGCAACAGAAAAAAATGAATCACCATAAGCCGAAGAGATGCAGAAGCCCGGAGAAGGGAAGTGCTTATCAAAACTAAGCCCACGGCCACACAGAAAGCGATTTTTGCTTTTTTTGCGACTAAAACAAAATAACAGGATTAGGTATATAGTAGTGGCCCGACCAAAAGCGTGCAGCGTTCGGTGTGTCTCGCAAAAGACGCAAATGAAAACAAATCAGTTTGTTTTCTGTAGCGTCTTTAGCAATTTCTAAGATGAGACCCCCGTCATAGGCGGACGTAATATTTAATAATACAATAAAAATGAATTAAATAGTAGTAGGGTATTATCTAAAAATATTTTTATACAAAGTGGAAATAGTTTTCTTGTATTTTTATGTAGGTATATAAGTTGTCCCAGAAATAAGTGCAAGTATTTTAACTGGTAGTATAGTTCAACCCCAGAAACACGCTTTATGAAGTATTTTTCGCCAAATTTTTTTTTTTTTAAATTCGGAATTTTTTGAAAAATTTTTGGATTTTTTTAGTTTTTAGTTAAAAAACACAATTTCTTGATAATATGGCAACATAGGTAGTAGATTAAATTTACAAGAATGAAAATCCAGAAAAGATCCAGTGGTTCTCAAAACTGGAGCAAAAAATCATTTTTTTGGAAATTTTCAAAGTAAAATAACTCCGTTATTTTGGACTTATTTTAAAAACGACAAAGAGAAAATATGTTTCTTTTATCGAGATCTACCACCCCTTAAAATACTTGCACTTATTTCTGGGATAACCTGTATAAATAAATTATAATTCTTACCGTGAACTGCTATGAATCCACGTTGCGTTTGTCTCGTTTCGGGAAAATCAACCAACCTCTCACGACCGGTTTCTGGGCCTTTACCGTTCATCAGGTGAGCTCTGGTTGATTTCGTAAAATGACAAACACATCGCGGAGACTTTCAATAGGTACTGTCGGAATCTAGCGGTTAGAAATTAAATCGCCAGTACATTGTGGAGATCTGGTAGAGACACCTACCTGTGCGATGGCCGTACTTGCGTACAACCTGGAAGAAGCGTATCAATTAAAGCTTCCAAGAAAACTATTTCCACTGTGTATATTCAGGCTGCCGAAAAAAGCCTTAGTGTGGGTTTACATACATCCGTCATGCGTCATCCGTCGTTTATTTTATGGAAATGTATTGGTTTATTTAAAAAATGACAGTTCATACTTAAATATGATTGGTGTGACGTAACGACGGACGACGCATTACGGATGCATATAAACTCAGCTTTAGAGTCCAAGTTTGTAAGCCTTCATAGCAGTTTACGGCAAGAATTATATAAAATATTTTTATAGAGGACATCTGCTGTTTAGGAAGATTCTATTAAATTGAAAAATTTGAAGGAAATGTTTGAAAAAGTGTAGTTTGAAATGTTGAATAAGCAATAAATTAAAGAAAGTAAAAATTAAACAAAAGTAAATTAAACAAATAGTTTTTTACATGTAAAATTTATTTTTTTTTGCGTAAAAAAGGTTTTTTCTACCATGTTTTGTCTCCTTTTTTTGCGTTTTTTACGTGTAACAAATAGTTTTTTACAAGTAAAAAAATATATTTTTTTTACGTTAGGCAAATTTGTTTATCTGTAAACCTAACTGCTGACAAGTAGTTTCCGTTGGATTAACGCAGCAGTGTTTACAAAAAATAACTCTTTTATTTTGTAGATTTTCTTGCAGTGGCGAAATACTCATGTAGGATTTTTTTGGAGAGATGAATCTGCCACATAAGTCAGGCATATTTTTAAGAC